GAGAGAAATGGGCACCCAGATCTAGGACATGCTCCGCCTTAGGGCTGATAAGTGCCCATAACCACTAACCCATCTCTTCCACCCCTAGACCGGTAAGCGGCAGTCTGTCATGTGCGCTGACGGCCATGACACTTGAGTGCTTCCTCAGCAGGCCGGGGCACTTTTGTGCCTTGGCTCCTCTCTGCTGCCCTGGCCTCATGGCCACAGATCTGAGCTACACCCATCCCACCAAGACTTACTGGACAGTCACCCCACAGCCCCAAGCTGTGCTTTGGGGGCATAGTAGCAACCAAGGCGGCAAAGCAGCTTGCAGACTGCTCTGTTGGGGATGGTGGCGCTACACAAGACCCCTTGATAACCCATGCCAGGTTGTGTAGTGATAAGGTGAAGGACACAGCGGGGAAACGGGGGCTGTGGTGGCTGTAGCTCTTCAGACAGGAGGGTCAGTGGAGGCCCCTCTGACATAGCCAAGATGTCGGGGAGCTGGTGTGATGGCTCACAGCTCTAACTACAGCTCTCAGAGACTGAAGCAGGTGGATTGCCATCAGTTCAAGCCTAGCCTGAGCACCAGTGTTCACACACACACACACACACACACACACACACACCATGTAAGCCTTTGTCTGCCTTCACCTGCAGACCATACGCAGGCCCAGCCTTGGGCCCAGGCCCTTGTAGAGCTGCCCTGTGAGGCCCTCAGGCCTGACCTCCCACCATCTGGAGTTGGAGGGTTGGAAGAGAGGCAGTGGACTTCACTTCCGTCATGGAGGCAGGGCAGAGGGGCCACACAGCCTACAGTTTGTGCCAGCAGCCCGGAAACCTGCACTAGAGTGGAAAGACAAATCGCTGCCGGGCACTCACCTCAGTGTCACACTGCCCTAGCGGTTTCTCTCAGCTCTTAGCACAGGGCCTCCACTGCCATCTTGTTCCACAGTGTTCACAGAGGAGTGCATTAAAGGCAGACAGAGAATTACTTTTCCAAGGTCGCCCAGCGGCAGAGTCAGGATGCCCTGCTCCGGTCCACCCCGCCCCCCAGTGTCTTTTGTTCTGAGTTAGGATCAGACAGGCCTGGGCTGCCTGTCCAGTGCTGTCCTTCACTGGCCCCATGACTTGGACAGGTGACTCTTTGCTGTGTCTCAGGTTCTTCCTCTGTAAGACAGGCTCGGGGCTGTCACCTGACCCCTAGAGAGGTGAGGACAGGTCTTCCGCTGAGGCTGGAAAGTGGCTGCACGGGCTTGAGGGCAAGAAGAGGCCTCGGTGCCAGGTCCTGCCATGACTGACGACCTGCCATAGCTGTAGCTCTCCAGGAGGACGGAGGCCGTGCTGTGGAACTAGGCAGAGGGCTCCATTCTCCTGTCCACACACATCCCTCTGGCCCCTACAAACCAGAGCACGGGCCCCAGGCTGCTTTCCAAGCCAAGCAGGCTGGCCTGTCCCAGATGGCCACCCCTATCCGCCAAGCAGACAGGCTCCAGTGGGCCCACGTTTCTCAGCAGATGGCCTGTGAGTGCTGGCAGAGCCAAGCTTCCCACGGAGGCCGGAGCACACTCGGGGTTGGGCTCAGGCACCACACACCTGACCACTGGCTGCCCCGTGCCAGCAACTGCTCAGATGGCACACGGGGTCCCCAGCCAGCCTCGGGCGTCTGGCCCAGTGCACTCCTTCAGCCTGTCAAGTGGGAATCTTTGACAGACCTTTGACTTTCCTTGTTTTGTTTTCAAGTCAGGTCCTCACTCAGTGTCCAAGGCTGGCAAGGAACTCACAGTGCCACTGCCCTAGTGTCCTGGGTGCCGGGATCCCACGAATATGCTGCTGTGCCCAGAAAGGCCTTGGCTTTGATTGGCTTGGGAGCCTGGGTTTTTCCCGTGTGTGTGTGTGTGTGTGTGTGTGTGTGTGTGTGTGTGTGTGTACCTAATGCAAAGTAGAAAGGGGAATTCTCACAGAGTAACCAACTATAATTCTGTTGGGGTGGGCTCTCTGTCTGCTCAGCACATCTGGTCTCACGTGCGCACCTCCCTATCTTTAACTTGTCCTGTTGAGGAGGAGTGGAAGGGGTCTGTAGCCTCCTCCTTAAAGCGTTTTAAGTGTTCGGCTTATCTGTCGCTTTGCCTGTAGCAGCGACTGGCGTCTGCCCAGCTCTCAGTGTTCCAGGTATGGCGGTAAAAGCTCTGTGTGTGAGCTTCCTTACCGGATCCTTCGGCTGGCCCGTGTTGGCCTAAACTACCAGTCCTGTTCAGTTTCCAGAGTATTTGAATTGCAGGTGTACACAGCATTCTTATTCCCATGCTGTCAATGAGGAAATGAGACTCTAAAGGAAATATTGAAAGTTCCCGGCCAACCAGGACCATAGAGCAAAACTCTGTATCAGTGAAAGTCTATGTAAGACAAATGTGATGGGGCACACTTGTAATCCTAGTGCTTGGGAGGTTCATGAGTTCAAGACCAGGCTGGGCTCTGTGAAACGGTCTCAAAAACTAAAAACTAAAAAGGGAGGGAGAGAGGAAATGAGGAATGGGATGAGAAATTTAGCAGTTGGCTCAGAGCTAGGGAGAATGTGAAGCTGGAAATCAGACACAGGCTGACAGCTCCAGGTCCCCTCCTGACGTTGCTGAAGGGTACCTGCCACCGAGCACAGTGAGCAGCCAGCATGCATGCGGCTGGTCATGGACCTGGCCCTCACAGAGCGGCCCCTCTTGGCTTATGTGGCACCGTGTCCTCTTTACAGCTCGCTAGGTTTGTCACCCTCAGCACAGGGATACCAGATGTCAGAGGGCTCGCAGCAGATCTGACTCCTGCTGCTGCAGAGAGAAGGGGCTGGCAGGGGGTCAGGGGCAGAGAGGCCGGGAGGAGGGCTGCTGTGCCCGTGGGGAGAGACGGAGGGCCGAGGCAGCTCCTCACGACCCGTTAGTGCCCGGCTTCTCCCCTGGCCTGAAGGAAGAGCCGGGAGCCCTTCAAGCAGGCAGCGGTGGGCAGTAACCAGGGCCAAGTGCAGCCGTGGGCCACCTGTCTCCAGGCAGGTTCTTTTGGTCCACATTGGCACTTGACCCCAGCGAAGAGCTCTGAGGAGTGGCCTCGGGAGGAAGCAAAGATGCTGGTCCTCTGGGTGCATTAAGGAAACCCATGACCCCCAGGCCACCCAGAGTGTAGAGCAAAGCCCTTGACACCATCACTGCTCCCCGTGCTTCATGCTTGCTTTGCTCATGATAAGAGATCCATGTGTTGATTCCTGAGCATGGTGAGAACCGGGGACTCCCAACCCTGAGATCACGCCATTCCTTCTGCATGCCTTCTGCCCGTGTCCTGTGGGCTGCCGGCCTGGCAGCAAAATCATGGCATGCTTTCGCTGCTTCCTGTGTCTGTTAACTTAGGAGAGTGTTTTTGCAGTTAACACTGATCATCTTTTGTATTTAAACCACAGCTCGGAGTGTTTGGGGTGCTTGGAACAGGCCTGGGGGAGGGGTTCCCCCTTGTGGTATTTCAAGTCCCCTTTCCGTGCGTTCTTGCTGAGGCTTCCACAAGCCCTGCCTGGCCTAACCTGGTGGCTAGACGCAAGCTAGCGTCAAGAGCACACGTCTGCAGGGGCTCTCTGGACTAGCGGGGTGTACATTGGAAAACCACTTGGAAAACTGGTTGGCTTCAGTGAAACTGAAGATTAGCATGTCTGGGTGATTTAGCAGTTTGTCTCCTAGGTATAAACCCAAAAGGAGATGTGTTCATGAGCACCAAGAGGTGCTTCTGGAGAGACGCCCAACAGCGCTGTTGTCAGTTGTCAAATACTGGAAGGAGTTGTGCTCTGCCGCACCAAGAGGGATTAAATCCACAGCGGTGCAGGCTGCTTCCTCCTGGTGCAGCATGGTGGAAGCCACGTGCCCGTTCTTGAGAGAAAGAAACCAGGCTGAAGCAAGGCTCTCAGGTTCAGGGCCACCCTAGAATGAGATCCCATCTCAAAACAGACAAAGAAACCAAGCATGCCGGTACATGCCTGTAATCTCAGCACTCAAGAGGGAGAAGCAGGAGCAGGAATTTGAGGCCAGCCTGGGCTACCTGAGATCCTGACTCAAAGGCAGGTGCAGGAAGCCAGATAACCAGCGGCGAGCAGTGACTGCCAGCCGCACATGTGGATCTGGTCATAGCACTAACCTCGCAGGCCGCGGCTCCATCCCCAGCCCCCAACGCATCTCTGACAAAGTGACAGCAACGGAAGGTGCAGGCAGGAGGAACTGGCCCTGGAGGTGAGCATGCCCGAGCTAGTCTGGGTGGTGGCTGCCTGGGTGGTCAGTCTTTCACCTGTGCTGTACCAGCTGCATACATGTAGACTGTCCAAGTGGTGATTCAGTATCTTAAGGCATTGTGGTGTTGCCTGCCTGGAGTCACAGCACTCAGGAGGCTGAAGCAGGGTCTCTGAAAGTTCAAGGTCAGCCTGGGTTACATAGTAAGACCTTGTGTTTATAAAACAAACAAACAAACAAAAAACTAAGACCCTCTCAGGAGACTGAAGGAGGTGGATCTCTGAGTTTATGGCCAGCCTGGTCTACAGAGTGAGTTCCCAGGACAGCCAGGGTGAAGGAGAGAGGCGGGGGAGGGAGGGGAGACCCTGGGCGATAGGAAGAAAACTAATCTTTATACTGAGGCCTGCAGCAAGAGGACGTGGGCTGGTGAGAAGTCAGACCAGACAGGGCTGTCACAGTCCATGGCCTGGAGCTGGTCATGTGGTCAGCTGTAGGAGAAACTTGGAAACAGCACCTAAGGAAGAGGAGAAGAGGTGCGTGATGGCCCTTGACTAAATACTGTCAGCCTTTGTGGCACGGCAAAACCAGCTGAGAGGGTTTAAAGTGTGCGTCGCTCACACACATGCACAGGTGCATGTATATGCACAATCCCCCCCCCCAAAAAAATTGTGCCAAATTGAAGTACCTGGTGGTGTTTCTCATGGAGCTGGCTCCAGCACCCTGGACAGGCAGGTCTCTGGCATAAGCTGGCACGGGAACAGCCAGAGCCTCTGGCTTGCGGAGCTCTTGTTCTCCTGGGGCCTGATGGGCTGCCCTCCCCTCCACCAGCCAGTTCTCCCGGGTCTTCGCTCGTCTCTGCACCTGGAATGGATTGGCACACAGGAGGCAGCAGCCAGCATGCGTGCTGAACAAAGGAGCGTGCGGCATCTCCCTCAGCCACCCCACACACGCACACTTAGGATTGCCTGCTTGTGTTCCGTGAAAGAGAAGGTCAAGCCTGGGCCATGCAGTCCCGTGGTCGGGATCACAGGAGGAGGCGGCAGATCCTAGTTCTGCCCTTGAGCTGTTAAGATCCCTCTCACCAGTCCCCTTTTGTGAGGAGGGGTGGGGATTGATTTAGGTTGGTTTTAGGGTTTTGAGACAGGATCTCGTGTAAGGAAGCTAGCCTCTAATTCTGTAGCCAAAGATGATCTTAAACTTCTCACCTCTTTCTTCCTCCCAAAAGCTAGGACGAAACCCCGCCACACCCAGCTCTGGCTTTCTTTTATTGAGGCAGAGCCTTACTGTGTATCCCAGGTTGGCCTTGGTATCAAAATCCTCCAGCCTTGCCCTGCCTAGGGCCAAGCTTCATACTTACAGAAGTACACCACCAGGCCCAGCTACACCTGTCTGTGAAGGCGGGACCCTTGCAAAGCCCGGAGACACCCCTGACCGTCCCTTCTCTCTGTTGAGCAGCTCATCACACTTCGGGGCTCCATTCTAGAGGACGCCACCCCTACAGCCACCAAGCACGGGACAGGGCGGGGCCTGCCCCTGAAGGACGCGCTGGAGTACGTCATCCCAGAGCTCAACATCCATTGCCTCCGCCTGGCGCTCAGCACACCCAAAGTCACGGAACAGCTGCTGAAGCTCGATGAGCAAGGGGTGAGCCAGGGGCTGAGGAACCCCAGCCCTCAGCCCTGCTCCTGCAACCCTCCCTGTCTCCATCTCCGCGTTTATTTTTAGCAAGTAGCAAACTCACTTAAAAGCTAGATTGAGCAGCAGGAGGGAGCTATCAGCACGTTGTAAGAGTACCAAGAGTGGTGTCATAGAAACAGCCTGGCAGTGAGATTGACAGGTTTAGATGAGAGAGGGAGGGGAGCCTGCGCCAGCCCACGAACACAAACCCACTCGCTGCCATCTGGCCCGTCCACAGCCCCTGGCGTTGCTTTTGGACTTCCAGACATGTGCAGACCCCAAGTAGCTGAAGTTTTGCCTTGGCACAGCCTTAGCCCATGCCTAGTCATCCATAGGAAGCCAGCCCTGACTCCCAGCTCTGCCTTAAGCATCATGACACTCGAGCAGCCATATGGACAGATGACGGAGTGGGTGCCTTCCTGAGCTGCTCTGGGCCGTGCCCCACTCGGCTCCCTTCCCCACGGGTGTGGCCTGGGCTCAGCCCCTCGGGACTCCCCACACCCCGTTCCCTGACGTCCTGCTCACCTGCCTCCCCCAGCTCTGCCGCAAGCACAAGGTGGGCGTCCTGTACTGCAAGGCGGGCCAGAGCTCGGAGGAGGAGATGTACAACAACGAGGAGGCCGGCCCCGCCTTCGAGGAGTTCCTGGGCCTCCTGGGCGAGAAGGTCTGTCTGAAGGGCTTCACCAAGTATGCCGCCCAGCTGGACGTCAAGAGTAAGTGGGGAGCACTCGGGAGCAGAGGAGGAGGAGGGCACAGGGCCGCACAGAGACACCCTGTCCCAAAAAAGCTAAACTAGGAGTAAGTGGCCTGGGCAGGGCTTTAGTCCCAGCTCTTAGAAGGCAGAAGCCAGTGAATCTCTCTGTGAGTTTGAGGCCATCCCGGTCTACATAGTGAATTCCAGGCCAGCCTAGGCTACACAGCAAGACCTTGTCTCAAAAGATGGATGCATGGATGGATGGATGATGTATCAGGATGTAGGATGCTTCAGGGTGTAGCACTTTCCTAACAGGCCCCAGATTACAGTGCCACCAAAAGAAAAATAATAATAATAATAAATAAATGTGTTAAGTAGGAGCCACCCCTACTTGTCTGCCTGAGCAGCCGAAGCCCAGAGGTCTGCTGGTGCCGTCGTGAGGGTACCGTCGTGGGAGGTGTTCAGGACAGCTGTTAGGATTAATAGTGCCCCATATGGGAAACCAGCATAATGAGCCCCAGGGGGGTTTGAAGTCGGTCCTCGTGTCTGACTCGGCATTTGCGCTCCTAGCATGTGCCCTGCACACTGCCATGAGCGTCAGCTGTGAGGCCTGGGCACAGCCACAGGCACCTGGGGAGCACCCAGGAGCTCCCCAGACTGTGTGATGTGGCAGAGCAGGGACCGGGCGAGGGCCACCTGGGGCAGGTAGTCAGTCTCGGAAAAGCATGCACTGAAGGATGCCTTTTATGTGCCAGGTGTGTGAAGAACATGGCAGAATACGGAGGGCGTATGGCACACGCTGTAAGCCAGCACTTGGAGGGCCGAGTCAGGAAAATTGAGTTGAGGGCAGCCTGTACTATGTTGCCAGACTTTGTCTTTAAAAAAAAAAAAAAAAATTATATAATGGAAGATTTCTTTTTTATTTCTTTCATTTTTAAAGAGTGAATGTAAGTAAAAGCATCAAGTTGAAAGCCAACAGATGGCCTGTGGGATACGGCAGAAACCAGAGGCTTAGGGACTGTGGTACTAACTGATGTTTCTGTCCCAGCGGACTCCACGGGGACCCACTCCCTCTACACGACGTACCAGGACTACGAGATCATGTTCCATGTTTCCACCCTGCTCCCCTACACGCCCAACAACAGACAGCAGGTCAGTGGCCCACAGCTGGGGCATGTGTGCCCTCAGAGCCTTCACCCTCCTCCAGACTGGCGCCTGCCAGCCCATCTGCCCGGCGGCAGCTCTGCTGGCGTGGTCCTGTGGAGCGGGTCGGAGGTCTTGGGTCTTGGAGGCCCTTTGTACTACAGCCATCTCCCCGGGAGTTGTACACAGCGCCTGATGTGTGCTGTCCGCCTGGCCCCGATCACGCTTCTGTCCCTGCTGCTCCTGCCGCCTGCTCTCTCGACTCAGCACCAGCTTGATGAGTAGGAAAGCAAATGAGTCAACAGAATCGGACCACAAGCTCAAACCAAACTGGCACGAGCAAAGCATGAGATGGGGTTCCACAGCCCGGGGTTCTAGCACACAAGAGGCAGGCCATCTCTGAGTTCAAGGCCCACCTGACCTGCAGAGCAAGTTCGGGACATTCGGGGCCACACAGAGAAACCCTCCAAAAACAAAAAAGCAAAGCAAAGAGTCCCCACCTCCACTGTGGTTTGTAGTGGCCTCATTCGCAGGTCTTCTTATCGATGGCAGAGATGCTCCCCACAGCCCAGGCTCTTGTTCTACCACCAGCCACACCAGAGGAAGGAGGCTGCTGGGGCCTGGGGTCTAGTGGGCCCATGAGCCGAGCCTGAAACACGTGGCCATCCTGGAAAGGAAGTGGTTCTGGGGCCAGGGAGCTGACCTGGCAGAGGGCCGATGTGGGTTCCGGGGAGATGAAGGGTAGGTGCTGGGACATGGGAGTAGACACCCACTGGAGGAGCCGGCAGGTACGGCAGCTCCCTCTCATGGACACGGCATGCCGGCTGAGCCAGCGAGACTGCTCTTTCTAGTAGGCAGGAGCCCTGAGAATTTACAAAACAGACCACAGTGTAGATTCTGTGGGCCAAAACTAGTCAAATATAAGCCTTTTCCTAAGGCTGTCCTGACAGCATGCTCTCAAGCATCTTTGTCCCCTGCCAGCTCTGTGACCCCAGGAAAGAGCTGGCCCCTCTCTGAGCCGCAGGTGGCAACACGGTCCTGAAGGTACCCATGAGTACTGAAAAAGACACTTGCTCCCATGCGTGGGCCCTGAGCATGAAACAGCCAGTGCCTTTAGGAAGCAAGGCCTGTTCTGAGGACTGAAGAAAACTTGTCAAAACCAAAAGCAAGTTGGGGGAAGGGTTGGAAGGGGTACACCATTTGCCTTCATCTCTGCATGACAGAAGGCGGGTCGGTCTTAACTTCTCTGAGCCAAGTTTTCCCGTCTTACAAAAAGCAGTCACGTGGGTCCTGCCACTCAGGGTTTCAGGAAGGTTCAGCCAGGTCATGAATTTAAGGTGTGCTCAGGGTAAGCCTCACATGGGGTCATTCAGTTCAAATGTGTAGAGAACTAGAGGACTAACGGGCCCAGAGTGAGAGAGACGGCTCAGTGCTCAAGAGCGCTGGCTGCTCTTTCAGAGAACCCAGTTCAATTCCCAGCACCCACATGGTATCTCAGAACTGTTAACTCGGGTCCCAGAGGACCTGCTACCTTCTTCTGGCCTCCGATGGCACTAGGCACACACATGACACACAGATGGACGTGCAGGCAAAACACCCATACATATCAAAAAAATGTAAGAAAATCTTCGGTGCTGGGCGTGTTAGCACACGCCTCTAATCCCAGCGCCAGAGAGGCAGAGGCAGGTAGATCTCTGAGTTCCAGGCCAGCCTGGTCTACTTCAGGACTTCCAGGACAGCCAGAGGTACATAGGAGAAAGACCCTGTTTCAAAATAAATAAACAAATGAAAAAGAAGTAACAGGCTGGATAAAGTGGTTCATCTGGAGATTGCCAGTTTGGTGGTTTAAGGCCAGGTCAGGCAGTTTAGGAAACACTTTCTCAAAATAAATGTTAAGAACAAAACAAAGACCAGCTCCCTTTGAGAGGCAGGAGGATGGGGAGGTGAAGGCTGCTTACTGAGTTTGAGGCCTAGTCTGGGCTGCATAAGACCTACCTTTCCCCACTCTCCAGAAAAGAAAAAAAAAAAAAAAAAAAAAAAAAAAAGTGGGAGGTCACTGTGATCTTAACAAATGAATAAGGCACCATGAACATTTTAGTCTCCCCTGGAGATGGAAGCAGGGGAGAGGATATGGATCCCTGGCCCATCTGAGCCTCAGCTCAGGCGTCCAGGAGAACTGTCCCTGCCTGTACATTCTGGTCAGACTCTGTCATTGTCCTTATGGCCTTAGTGGACCAAAGGCCTCCACCCTGAGCGCCGCTGCACTGAAAAGGATTTGCCACGCACGCCACTGTCAGGCTCTGGGCGAGGCACTAAGGTTATGGTCGCAGGCAGCAACCAAAATAGTGTCCCGTCTTGTCACTGACAACCTGAATGGGAAGAGACAGGTGAGGAACAGGGCTTGAGTGAGCCTCTGTGTGCAAAGAAAGGCATGCTCGGGCAGGCCAGGTTTTGGAGATTTGCTATAGATGACAGAAATCCCTCAAAAATCGGAGGAGTTGAGGAAGGAAGCTACAGGGGCTCTGGGGCAGCCATTCCCACTGCTTGCATGAGGAAGGCTTTTCTGGGGTGTTTGAGGAGCCTCCTGGCAGGTGAAGAAGGAGAACAGGCAGGGTCAGAGGCTACGGGCTTGGCTTTTTCCATTCCCGAGTGAAGGAGTCAGGTCTTGCAGCATCTGGGACAAGGCCTGACTGCAGTGCTCATGTGCGCCCTCTGGTGGGAGTGGGAGTGGGAAGCCAGCGAGGCAGTCTGGGTAGGGTTCTTAGCGCCGGCCTGAGACCCTTGTTCTCTCTGCTTCCAGCTGCTGAGGAAAAGGCACATAGGAAATGACATCGTAACGATCATCTTCCAGGAGCCAGGCGCCTTACCGTTCACGCCCAAGAACATCCGCTCGCATTTCCAGCACGTCTTCATCATCGTTCGAGTCCATAACCCCTGTACGGAGAATGTCTGCTATAGGTATGGCCAGTGCCCTGCCCACCGTGGCCAGCCCAAGATGCTGGGGAGGCATGCCTAGTCACAGGTCCCACCCCACCTCACCTCCTGGCTCCGGCTCTCCTCAGAGCCTGGATTTCTCGGGATGTTCTGCTTGTGGCTGATGGAAAACCCACCTCAGCCTGGCTCTCAGGAAGATGCGCTTGTGTTCACCGGCCCACAGGAAGCCAGGTGTTCTACGGTTCTGGAAAGAGCTTCATTCTCTGGCAGCACTCAGTTTAGCATCTTCCCAGCTGTGGGGGTGCAGTTTGCTTGGGCTAGCGGTGTAGCTCCATTCACAGAAAACTTGTCTAGCGTGCACAAAGTCCCCAGCTCTGCGTAAACCAAGCACAGTGGTGCATTCCTGTAATCCCAGTGTTGGGGGGCGGGGTCATGGAGGCTGGAGAATCAGAAGCTCAAGGTCATCCTCAGCTGCATAGCAAGCTTAAGGCCAGCCCAGACTACGTGAGACCTTGTCTCAAGGTGAGGGAGAAAGAGAACACACACACACACACACACACACACACACACACACACACACATTGCTGGGACTTGAGCAGAAGCTCCATGAAGGCCCTCGGGCCTGGTTGGAGCGAGGTTCCTTAGGGAGCCAAATGCGCTTGTGAGAACAGAGAGGCACAGGAGGGCGATGGCCTGTAGGCAGGCTGGGGCAGGCTGGGGCAGGCTGCGGTGGAAGCTCTCCAGGACCACCTGTACAGGTGTCCTGCTTATAGGTAGAAGAGTGTGGTTTGGGAAGGTTTTCATAATCCTCCTGCCTCAGCCCCTGAATGTTAGGACTGAGAGTTGAATTGGGATTTCAGTTCACACATAGACATGTAACCCAGGCCTCAAGCCTGTCCTGTATCCCTTGGAAACTAGGAGAAGGACGCGGAGCTGGGTCCTCAGAAGCACCCGACCCCGAAACCCAGGCCAGGCATCTGTTCATTCCCGGAGACTGGGGCCTGGAGCGGTTTCCCATGGTCTGAATGTGCTGTGATAGAGAAGGGCTCACACCTGCCCCGCCCAGCCGTCCTCACAGAGACGCCACGCTGCTTTTGTGGCTTGACCCCGTGTAAGCAGGCTTCCGTGTCACCCGTGCCTGCTGCTCAAGGCTTCCACTCAGCAACCTGCAAGGTCTTTCCGTCCCTGAACTTGACACGCTTTTCCCTTCTCATGCATGCTGGGTGTTCCAGGGAGCGGGTGGCACAGTCCCTACCGTCCTCCAGTGACGGGCACTGGGGTGGTTTGCTGGCGCCTGCCTCGTTGCAGCTCGGATGGAGTATGCGGCCGACTAGTTGCAGTGGCAGTGGAGGCGCAAGGGCCTGTGCCCTGTGTACTAGTAGGCTTGGTCTTGGTGGGGCTGGCGGGATCTCAGCATGGCCTCAGCATGCAGCTGGAGCTGGTGTGATCCGCCGTGTGGCACACACTGCCCAGTGGCTGCTGGGGACAGGTACCATCAGTCATTCCCCTGCCCACGGCCACCCCTGTTGTTAGGGACATACTGTCGCAGCTGCAGGTGCTCGCTGAGACCTCAGACTCTGGACTGAGGCCGCCTAAGTGGTGCCGGGGTTGAACAGTTTGCTGATACTCCACACCAGAGAGGTGGCCCTGGTAACAGAAGACAGGTGTTCATACAGGCCAGCCTGCACCTCAGAGGTCACCGGGAGGGTTGAGGTGGCCTGGTAGCCCTTCTTCCCTTCCTCCTCAGTCTTTTTTACTCGGGTGAGGGAACACCACAGGATAGAGGATCAAATGCTGGGCCTCACGAGTCCTTGGCAAGGCTTTCCCTTGCTGTGTTTGTTTATTTCTGGGGCTTGTTTTGGGGACAGCTCCACATAGCCCATGCTGGTCTCAGACATGCTGCCTAGCTCAGGTTGGCCTCAAACCCCTCGTGACCCACCTGCCTCTGCCTCCCAAGCACTGGGATGATGGCCGTGAGCCACCGTGAGCCACCGCACCCATCATACCATGCCACCATGACCTCTCTGGGGCTTGGTGCAGTGGGTCGGTTGGTTCTGTGTGCATGTGTACAGGTGCCTTCTGGCAGTTCTGAGGGTGGACACAGGGCCTCACCCATGCCAGGCGAGTGCTGTACCTCTGGGCTATAGCCCCAGGTTTGAGGCAAACCTTTGCTATGTAGTACAGGCTAACCTGCAACCCAACTACGTAGCCCAGGTTGGCCTCAAGCATGCGACCCTCCTGCTTCAGCTACCTGAGTGCTGGGCACATAGGCGTATGGCACTATGTTCAGGGCCCTTCCTCCTCTCTATGTCATCCTCCCCTCCCGTGTAGTCCCAGCTGCCTTCCCCCACCTCCCGCTTCTCCACGCATGCTCAGGCCTGGTCTCCAGGGTGACTTCTTCCTGATGCACAGCCCTTTCCTGGTATTTTTTTACAATTTAATTTGAAAAGGCTTTTATTATGCAATATTTTAAACATTCTGAAAAGTGCAGAAAATAATGGAACAGACACCCATGTGCCCTGCCAGCAGATTTAACAGATGTTAGCATTTTGCCTTCCTTGCTTCAGTGTTCCCTCTTTTCTTTATTTTTAAAGAAAGAAAAAATGTTAGTGACACAGCCACAGCTGTCCCTTACCACCTCAGGCACCCACTCTCTGGGTAGACCTACCCTCTGTGCTACCCCCAGTTGTGGGAAGAATACTGAGGCCAGCCTGCCCTGCCCTCCCACCTGGCCCCATTGAAGTCTGTGTGTGCACGTGTGTGTGTGTGTGTGTGTGTGTGTGTGTGTGTGTGTGTGTGTGTGCATGCACAAATGAGCCTTATGTAGCCCAGGCTGACCTCAAACTCTGTATCCACAGACGGCCTTGGGCTCCAGAACCTCCAAGTGCTGAGATTACAGGCACGCACCACCATGCCTGGCTAACCTATCTGAGGACTGTAAAGGGCTGGTGGTACACAGTGTAGGCACTGAGAAAACAATTGTTGGATTAATCATCGCACGTGTTCTGGGAGCTCCTGCTGAGCTCTACAGGATAAGGGGGCCTGTGGCCACACGTTTTCTGCTCGTGTAGTGACGTTTGCCACTTCTTAATGGCCAACAGCATCTTCCCTGAGCCAGGGGCACATAAGCTAGCCCAGCCCCTCCAGGTAAAAGTTGGGGAGCAGCTGTTCCCATTGTCCAGAACTGTCAGCAGCTTACAGTTTCCTGACTTGAAACCATGAGTCAGGATCCCCAGGAAAGCCAGTCTGCCACCAAGCCATCGAGTGCCAAGGACAACTGTACCTCTCTCCTCCTGTCAGTCAGCTGTTCCCTTAGGTTAGACGGCCATCCTGGCCGACCTGGCTGGGGCCCCAGCAGGACTCTGTGGTCATACACGCCCTTGCTTATTGGTGGAAATCATCTCCTCCTCCCTGCATCTGTCTGCACGCCGTCATGGCTTTAGTTAGTAGTGAGGGCCTGGGCTGGAGCTGGGGAACCCATCGTGCCCAGGCCGATGTGTGTGGCCCTCCCACACGGGAAGGGGCGCTGCCGAGCATGGGGTGATGGAAAGCAGAGGCCAGGCTCACCTTTGGGGCCCCAGCGCTGCCTGCCCTTGCTCAGCGCCATAGCAGGCAGGGGTCTTTGCAGCTGCACCTCTTTCTGTCATGGAGCCAGCTAGCAGCAGAAGCCACTGCTGCCACCCCCGCCGAGGACATAGCACAAAGATGGAAACAGTGTGTGGCTGGGCTCAGGGCTAGTGGGAACTTGGGCATCCAGGACTAGAGACAGCAAAGAGCCAGTACTGCCCAACCCACAAACCAAGGCGCGTGAGAGAAGTTTCTCGAAGCTGGTGAGAGCGGTGGCCCTGGGAAAGGGGCCACCTAGCAAAAGCAGCGGCTGTGACTAAGGTATCAAGACCCAAGAAAGGTGAGTGTAGTTGTAGGGCACGTGCGCAGGGACACCCTCTGGGAAACGTGGCCTTGGCTGGCTTAACTGTTGCGCGGCCGCTGCAGGAAGTGTCACGCCGTGATGTCAGTAAACGGTGCTACAGAGTGACACAGTCCCGGTGGCCTCCCTCCCGTCACATCCTTAGGTTGCACATGGGTGCACCCCGGCATCTTTCATCCCCCCAGTGCCTCCCATTGGCCAAACTCACTTAGAAGCCTGAGCTTGCGGGACCCCAGGAGCGGCAGACAGTGTGAGCCACCCCCAGGGCCCCGCATGGCGCTCCGCTGGGGACTTTCCCAGCCTCCTGCTCCTCGCTGTGTGAGCGCTGGCCCTGGGCTTGTCTCCTTTCCCACTTGGGCTGTCCCACATGCTGTTCCTTCTGACTGGTGTATCATCTCCCCTCCCCCAGTCTGGTGCCACTTTCTCAGAGAGCCCCACCCCCACCCCCAGGCTTCCCTGTCCTGCCCTGACCCAGCGTTCCCTGTCTTCATCAGTGTCTGTTCATTTGTATGATCAGTCGGCTGTTGTGGACAGACAGGAAGCACTGTATCCGCTAAGCTGACAGGGGCATCCAGGAAGCCCTTGTCAAACAGATGTGTGAATGTTGTACCGTCCCCCTGCCAAGATGGCGGAGGGTGCCATAGAGGTCAACCAGATGCCAGCGAGCTTGGTGCTGTGTTTGGCTTGCATAGGGTATTGTAATCTATAGTCTGCTTTATTTACTCTTTTGACGAAGGGTCTCATGAATCCCAGGTTGGCCTCCCACATGCTAGCCAGCTGATAATGACCTTGAACTCTTGATTCTCCTGACTCTACCGCCCGAGTTCTGGGGTTATGTGCATGTGCCGTCACACTAGCTCCAGGTTTTCAAAACAATCTTTGTTGATATGATTTGCAGGGTATATTAGTGTCAAGTAAGTATTTTAAATGTCCACATGCGTGTTCCAGGCGGGTAGCCCGACCCTGACGGTGTGTAACAAGCTGGCAGAGAACTGCGGCTCTGACCCGTGCCTCAGGCCAGTGGCCCTCAGCCTTCCTGGTGCTGTGGCCCTTTAATACAGTTCCTCACGCAGCGGCGACCCAGCCAGAAAGTTAGTCCCGTTGTTACTTCAGAACTGTAATTTTGCTAGTTATGAGCCGTAACGTAAACATGATAGGCAGGATATCTGATATGTGATTTCCTGTGAAAGGGTCAGCTCAGTGCCCCCTGGAGTCCAAGCCCTTCCCAGGTTCTCCTCATCCTCCTGGGGTCGGTAGGCTGTCCCTGGGGCCTGTCCATCCCATTGCAACTCAGGGGTACAGAACTCCAGTCCCTCCATCCTGCACACACAGGGCAAGCCCTCACTTAAAAGGCCCTGGCCAAGTCAAGTCATGTGGCCAGGCTGTGGGAAAGGGCCTTCAGCTGTGCCTGGCTGCGAGCATAGGGAGGACCGCACGCTGTGTCTCCTGCTGTAACCTGATGCATAGTTTATCTAAAACAAGAGTGAATGAGGCCAGGAGCCATCGTGGTGGCTGTAATCACGGCACGCAGGAAGTTGAGATATGAGTCTCAGGTTCAAGGTCAACCTAGGCCTCATAATGAGAGTCCCAGAGAACCAAGCGGGGCTGAAAATGCAGCCCAGTGGTAAATCGCTTGTTCGGTATGTGTAAGCCCTGAATCTGATGCCCAGCGCCATCTCTGTCTGTGTCTGAGTCTGTGTCTGTGTCTGTGTGTGTGAGTGTGTGTCTCTGTGCATGTGAGTGTGTGCGTGCATCTGAGTCTGTATGTGCGTGTGAGTATGTGTCTATCTGTATGTGTGTGACTGTGTGTATGTGTGTGAGTGTGTGTGTTTGGGGAATACATATAATACGTTATATACGAACATAAGCTCTAAGACTTTCCCTTCCTTTCCAGTCTAACTAGCAACTCATTGATTGGATATAGCCTTCTGTTCACAAAGGAGAAACCCCAGGGCTCAGCAGCAGGCACTTGCCTGACTCCATGGGGTCCCACCCCCGCACGATGGCATCCAGGAAGGAGAGAAGATCTTACTTTTGATTTTATATTTTATGTTTTCTTTGTGGAGAGTCCTGTTTGTTAGAAACAAGGCTTTTTGTTTGGTTTGGGGGTTTTTGTTTTTGTTTTTTCATGTAGCCCTGGCTGTCTGGGACCTCACTATGTAGATCGGGCTGGCTACCCAGCTTGCCATCACCCTGGCTAGAGACAGAGTCTCTAGTAGCCCAGGCTAACCTTGAACCTTGATTCTCCTTTCTCCACCATCCAAGTGCTGGGGTTCCAAGCATATATGTTACGGGTTTTAAGGAGGTGTAGCTTCCCCACGTCTGACTGCTTTCTCTCTCCTCAGCATGGCTGTGACCCGATCCAAAGATGCTCCTCCTTTTGGCCCCTCCATCCCTAATGGAACCACATTCCGGAAGTCTGATGTCTTCAGAGACTTTTTGCTAGCCAAGGTAATTAACGCTGAGAACGCCGCGCACAAATCCGACAAATTCCATACGATGGCCACCAGAACCCGTCAGGAGTACCTGAAGGACCTGGCTGAAAACTGTGTCTCCAGCACCCCCATTGACTCCTCCGGCAAGTTCAACCTCATCTCCCTGACCTCCAAGAAGAAGGAGAAGACAAAGGCCAGGGCGGGGGCAGAGCAGCACAGCGCCGGGGCCATTGCGTGGCGAGTGTCGGCTCAGGACTACGCCCAGGGAGTGGAGATCGACTGCGTTTTGGGGATTTCCAACGAGTTCGTCGTTCTCCTGGACCTGCGCACCAAGGAGGTGGTGTTCAACTGCTACTGTGGGGATGTCATCGGCTGGACCCCGGACTCCTCCACACTAAAGATCTTCTATGGCCGAGGGGACCACATCTTCATACAGGCCGCAGAGGGCTCTGTGGAGGACATCAGAGACATTGTCCAGAGGCTGAAGGTAAGAAAGGGGACCCAAGCCGGGCACGGTGGCGCACGCCTGTGATCCCAGCACTCGGGAGGCAGAGGCAGGCAGAGGCAGGCGGATCTCTGTGAGTTGGAGGCCAGCCTGGTCTACAGATTGAGTTCCAGGATAGCCAGGGCTACACAGAGAAACCCTGTCTCAAAAAAAGAAAAGAAAAAGGGCCCAGTAGTGGGTGTCTTATATGTTTGGCAGAAGGTTCCAGAAGTAGTATAGTACTTTCCCTGGCCCAGAAGTCAAGAGAATGTATCAGCCCTAAGAGTCAGAACTATCACACACACACACACACACACACACACACACACACACACACACACACACACAC